ATTAAAAATTTTAAAAAATCTATTATTTAAGGATATATCTTTCTTAAAGACCGAAAAAAGAATTTGTACCTTTTTGGGGATGGGTGCCCTTTGGTGGTATAGTGGCAAGAAGCTGCACTGAAATCCCAAAAATGATGTGGTTCAAATCTACCAGCTGCTCCCTGGGAGAAAGATGGGCAAATTCCTCCTTTATTAGTTACAGCCTGTGAAAGCCCACTTAAGGATCAGCTATGGTACAGTCTGCAGACTTGATCCTACTCTTGATGCAACTTTTTGTTTTCTTCAGAAAGGTGTCTTCTGTCACAAGGGAAGTAGCATGTTGCTAAATCCATTGCTGTGAAGTTGACTGTGATGCCTAGGCACTTTATAACCAGGTATTTATAAAGGAAACAAATGATACTGTGTCCTTGAGAGGTGTGGTTATACTGGATTTCTTCAGGACTGAAGTACCAGGGAGCCACCTAGAGATCTCTTGCTTCAATTTTGCTTCCCAATCCACACTGGTACACCCTGAGTTCTAACTAATAGGACGATCTGGATCCTAACCAGAGCATTACAGAAAACAAAACCAACTGTTATGTATATCTACCCTTTTCTTTTTCTCTTTTTTAAAAGTTTTATTATTTTTGCTGAAAGTTTATATAAAATGTAGGTTTCTGTTTGGCAACTTCCACTTAATAGTTGCCATACATTAGTTACATTTAGCACAATGTGGCAACATCCTCTTTGTGTACTGTTTGTTCCATTTCTGTGATTGTTTTCCTGGACCTTTTGTCTTCTCTCCTTTGCTTAGTCTCATAGTGATGGGTTTTAAGTAGACGACAAATTTGAAGTTATTCTGTGAGGATGTAATCTAAGAGTTACTAGTTATTACCTTTTAAAAGAAAATTCAGAAATGTGCATTTTTAATTGGTATAGGACTACGACTAACCAAAGCTAAAGAAAAGTTTGAAGAATTATGATTGCATAGTCCACAGGGAGCTGCATTGCTAATCCAAAAATGTGTCGTCTACAGTTGTTTGACTCCAATAGCAAATCTGTGATAGAAAAATGGACAATCTCTTGGTGATCTGAAGCCTCTGAAAAACTCCTTAACGGACTATGATACCAGACCTCCCTTAACGTGGTTGATAAGACACTATAAACAATTACATTAATTGACTAATTAATGGCATAAAACAAAATACCAGTGAATGAAAAAAACAACATGATTTTAAACTTTCACTTAAACAATTTTTTTTAAAGGAACATTTTAAAAACTGGAAATGTGCAATTTTTAAAAAATTTTGCAATCTGATTTTTTAACGTTAACTAGCAATGCAAATGTGCAAGCCTGTTTGAAACCATGGGTACAGTTTTGCACCCACGTTACAAAGCATGAGTAGCCTGTAATGGTTTGACTTTTGCCTCCTGCCCTGTATGAGGCAGGAACGACAGCAAAAGTCACTTTCAAGGCAAAATAGAGAAAGTTTATGGTTTCTCGGAGAACCTGAATAGGGCTAAAAAAAATGGATAAACTGCCAGAATGAATTCCTATTTGATTTTTTACATCATCTGGGGCCTTGGGACTTTCTGTTTCACATGGTCAATGTTCGCTTTATTATTATTATTAATAATACAAATAATAATAACAATAATATTTATTATTACTATTATTAGTACTATTATTATATTATTATTTAGGGGCCAAAACACCCTTTCCTAGGTATTAGAGGAACCTGTATCGTTGGGTGAGAACTTGTGAAGAACGGACTATGGACAGGGGGCGCTAAGTAGCCTCGAGGAGTATTGGGAGAGCGGTTTTTGATAAAGTATTTAGATACGCAGCTACCGGAAAGTGCAGGGAACAGTATTAATATTAGAAATGTGAAGACTATGGTCTATGTTCAATGAATACCGAGGGCGGAAATAACCTCTTCTCCGGCGCCCCTTGCGGCCAATCTCGCTCACCACAGCCGTGCAGCTCCGGAGTCCAGCGACCGCCATCTTGACGCATCTTTCTGCGCAGGCGCGACTCAAGGACAGAGCCCCGCCCTCCACCTCGCCCCACCCCATAGGACAGCTCTGACCACGCCCCTTGCACGTGACCACGCGCCTGCGTTTCCGGAAGGTGTAGAGTTGCTGTTGTTGTGTTGTTTTAAGTACGCGGGTGATCTCTCTGTGCTGGCCCTTAGAAAAATGTTGAGGTGCAATACTCAGTCCTTGACTTTGATAGAATAACAGGCTGATTACAAGTTATAACCACGAGGTGCGCAGGGGTCGGAACCAGGTTCAATTGAGTAAAGGCTTCTGTTGTTAGGTGCCATTGAGTCGCTTGTAGGAGATATAGATCAAAACCTAGCCAGCAGTGGAAAGAGCTTTTAAATGTTCCAGCAAAGGGAAAGGATAGAGCCGGAAGAGTGCATGATACTGTCAGGGAACTGCAAGGGCAATGCTTTACACTTGTTGCAGGATAGTTGGTAAATAAATAGTGGGACTGCACTGCCACAAGGTCTGAGTTTTAGTGTAGGGACTATTAAGTGATCTCTGAATATATTTAACAGGAAAACAAGGTACCAGATTGTGAAGAGGGTTATAGAAATAATTCAGACAAGGGAAATGAAAATATTCTACTTGTGGTAGTGATAACGGGAACTGAGTTAAAGCCATGGAGTCAAGAGGCACCTTTGAAGTAGAATTAATAGGAGATTGGTTTGGCAGGTGGAAGAATGAGGAAATTTTTAAATGGCTGGGCTACTGAAATGGAAAGATTAGTTTAAGCAAGCCATTGGAAATAAGGCACTGAAGAAATGAAGGAGGCTGGAGTTAGTCTGCCCTGTGTTTGTACGCCATCCTTGTTCCTTCCACTGGTAGGATAGTGCAGGCTGAGAAAATAGGTGAGTGCTATTCTTGCTTCAGCTTTTCCATTCCCATCATGAAGTAAATTTTTCACCTTGGTTCTTTCTTTGAGTAAGGATGTTACACTCAAGCTCTTCTCCCTTGATGAGAGCATGAATGAAATGGCCAATGTGCAAACCCTGGACCTAATCCTTGGTCTTATCTGTGCCAGCCCCAGCCCACTGGCAAGCCCTGGAAGTGCATATCACCCTAGTAGGTCCAACCTAGTCTTCACAGCCCTGGCTGGGGTCTGTCCTAGAATATCCTACTGGACATTCAGCTCCAATTCTACTGGAGCTTTACAGGGAGCTGATGCCCTAAATCCTATGTCTCGGGTAAAGGTCAAGACACTAGTCCAACAGTTGCTCTACTGCTTGGTGTTTATCAAAAGTTGTGTTAGGAAGGGTGAAGCAGTAACATCTACCATTATGTAGGATAGTCATTCTGTGGATTTCCCTACTTTAATAGAATTACCAAACTCCAGAGACTGCTATAAGATAATTTATTACAGACTAGTCTATAATTTCCTGTAACAATGGCACATGCAATCTTTAACAACAATAAAGATGCTTGTTTTCTTGTCTCATGTAATAGTACAGCTGTGGACAATGGTGCATTCCTTAGGAAGTCCAGGAGATTGCTACTGAAGAAATCCAAAGACTGGCATATCTCTGAACAAAAAGGCCCAGGAAGCCCATGTGATCCCTGAAACAGTTTG